TGTTGGCTGTCTGTGTATTTCTGTCATTGCTGAATGTTGGGTGGGCCTATTGGTGGCTCAGATTGCTCAGTAGTCAGTGGCTAGTGCGGTCCTGGGTACAGGAACACGCCTCAAGCCTGGTGAGCTAAAATTTAGATCACGTGTGTGTGGTTCATGTACAGCTCTGCCCATGACTGTTATGGGTGTCGGAGGCGATACTCTGGTGTGATGCACATGGTTGCATTTGTACGGAGACCCTAGTCCGTGTGCTATGTAACTGTCACAAGTGATGCAACACTTGCTGAATGTTGTCAGTTTGTGGTTTGGTCATTACACAACAGGATTCTGAGGACACAAACACCGCTAGCTCTGGTCATGTGAATCATCCAGCATGCTGGAAAATGTCTGTGAGTCAATCATGCAGTCTTTTTATTAGAATGGCCTTAGGCCACCTTACACCTGTGGTTGGGAGGGGCTAAAAACAGGTATTTGCGTCACGTTTTTAATCACTCTTTCCCCCCAATATGGGATTTTCTGCAAGTAAACCAGTGTATTCTCCTCCTAAGGAGGGTATAGGAAACCCTGCAATCATTTCCTGGTTGAACAATAATTTATCATTCCAAACCCTGACAACTACTACTTGACCCCTGGTTCATATCTGTACGGGTGGTGCCGCTGCGGATCCCCACGAAAATCCATGCAGAGAATCCGCAGAGAATTGCGGGTGCCATTCGTTCTAATGGCATGCCACCCGCACTGGGAGCCACAACTGTACTGGGAACCGAGGTTCCCGTGTGGGCTGCGTTTTCCAAAGAAGTGCAGGGACTTCTTCCCCTGCGTGTCACGGGCACGGGGGTCCTTTCAAATGAATGGGCTCTTGTGCCCGAGCAAAACGCAGCTCGCACGGCCGCATAGATGTGAAACATTAAATTCATATGGAATGCTGGAAATGGATATTTGCAGAACAATGCATGATCAGAGTTGGTGAGTTCAGGTATAAAGTAATGTGTGCAGATTCCTTACACTTTCCGGACATGTCTGAATCTGCTCCGTGTCACCATGCATGCAGGTGTCCCCAGGGCAGGGGAGTAGGTACAGGCCCGTCACCATGGAGGATGGCCGTTCTGCTGACCCTGCAGAGGGAACACAGTAACAATGCAGGAAATAGCAGAAGCCACAGGGTGACAGGAAATTGCAGAGGTGATGAACTCCAAGCCTTCACACCCTTCCGCACACACCACCTCACTGACAACAGGGTGCCTGTGTTGTGGATTTACTAATGAGAATACACGTTTCTAGCCATAGATCTCAGAAATTGGAACCTGATAAGTCTACAGCGCCCATCGATCCTAAAAAAAAAAAAAAAAAAAAAAAAAAAAAAAAAGAAAAAAGTGATCTAAAAACATCCACATCAAAAGGATCAAAATCTGTCCTTTACAGTGTATTGATCACACTTCTCTAATGTGATCTTGTCTGCTCCTCTCCCACTTTCAGTTCTCTCACTGTCTTCCCCTCGCTCCTAGGCTGCAGGAAAACAATAGCAGCCAGCGCATGCGTTTTCCCTTTCTACAACCAATTGATGCACACGTCTGTATTTAGTTATCCCATTCCAGGAACAGGCTCATATTTGCAAGTACAAGTCTACTGTAATATCACATTCTCTGCTTCACTCCCAGCTGCTGCTTGGAACACAATCTCACTTGACGGCTGCAATTAAACAACAGGGGTACAGCCATCCTGCTCATTATTTGGGTAAAATCTGCTTCTCTCTGGTATGAAAGGGATGAAATGATGAAGCCTAACGTACGTCAAGTGCTATCCTCTTTAGCTGGCCATTGCTGGCTGGACTCTCTCTTGTGTGGCCTGAAGAAAATCCGTTCATACCCCCATCTACACTAACCGCATGTATGGAGGAATCCCCACTGCCGGCTTTTGTGTTCTAAAAGGCACAATACATACAGGTGTCTGAATACCTGAACAGCGACTGCTTCTGATGGCCAATACATTTTAATCCTGACCCAACTTTTGTTGAAAAGACAAGGAAGAAGAGGGCGCACCAGCAAACGACTGTGGTAAGAGAACATAAAGTCAAAAGCAACCAATTGCCGGATCAACTCCAGATCGTGAGAGGATCCTCAAAATGGCTGACTTGTATCAAGAAGCAGTCTCCTTTTCCTCAGAGCCCTGAGACTGCTCCTCGAAACGCATCAGTTTTGAGGGTCCTCTCATGATTTGGAGCTGATCCAGTAATTGGTTGCTTTGGACTGTGTTATGCTCTTTTATCACCATCGTTTTGGTGCGCCCTCTTCTTCCTTGTCTTTCAACAAAAAAGTTGGGTCAGGAGTAAAATGTATCTGAATACCTGAACAGCGACTGCTTCTGATGGCTTATACATTTTACTCCTGACCCAACTTTTTTGTTGAAAAGACCAGGAAGAAGAGGGCGCACCAGCAAACGATGGTGATAAAAGAGCATAACAAAGTCCAAAGCAACCAATTACTGGATCAGCTCCAAATCACGAGAGGACCCTCAAAAATCTGATGCATTTTGAGGAGCAGTCTCAGGGCTCTGAGGAAAAGGAGACTGCTTCTTGACACATCAGCCATTTTGAGGGTCCTCTTGCAATTTGGAGCCGAACGGGCAATTAGTTTCTTTGGACTTTGTTCTCCTATCACATTGTTTGCTGGTGTGCCCTCTTCTTCCCTATCTTTACAGCGATTTTCTTTGAGCACTCCCCCGACCCTTAGAGGGCAGCAAGGCCTATGCCAGCACAAGGTGTGCTGAAGACCTGACACATTCCATTTTTACACACCACTCTTGAGCCTTTCCAACTTTTGTTGAGCCTGGTGGTGCCAACCAGTCCAGCCACAGTTTGGATTTTGGCTAAAATTTGATCAGTCCATGAGGGCTTTAATGTAATTTGCTCATTGATCTATCTCCAAGGATAGACTGTGTCGGCCCACAAGGTAGAGGTTAATATGGAAGGGCTGCTTGGTGGCACTGCTACACTAGGTGTGATCTGTAAGGGTTCAATTCGGGACTTCAGGGTGGGGGGACTGGATGAAGATGTGCGAATAGTTTTTTATTCTATGGAAAGTGGGCATTCTCTTAAAGCTATTCTTCTCCTCTCCTCTACATGGAGATCAAGTAGTGAAATCCACTACCAGAAAAGTGAGACTGTGCTACAGTAAAGCTTCAGTTTGGAGATATAATGCACATCCTTAGTCTGACTGCTCTCTTAAATTCCCATTCTTTAAAAGCTAGCCACAGCCATCTGTTCAGACCAGATGTTTTGTACCGTTTGGAAGTTTTAAAAAGTTTTGGAAGCATCTCGTTCAATGTCGTAAACATATGCTTTTTTTTTTTTTTGAGTTGACTCATTTTCAAGCACTCACTCAGCCCTTTTTTTCTATACAAAGAATTGAAGGATTTCTTTTTTTTGTTGTTTTGTTTTTCCAACAATCGCTTTTTCTTGATTCTACCTGGGAAGTGTTTAAGCCCATTTCAATATTCAGTTTGAAACAGCTGAATGCATTCTATGTTCACAAAGGAAGAAAACATCTTACAGTTCATATCTTACATTTCCTTGTCTTTTTTAAAGCAGCCAAAGCCTGAGAGACCACTGCTTCCACAAAGAGAGCAAGGTTCCTTCTCTACAGCATGCTGCCGGGGGACAGACTTTTCCACTCAGGCTGTGGCTACTTTACAAGGAACGTTAAATTTGTAAAATATTGAAGATCTTTTCATGGATATAATTGGGATATTTAAATAGTTGGATTGAACCACATATACACAGGTGTCAATGTACACTGCAAGCAGATCTGCCTTCATTTTGCCCTGCTATATACAGGACATGAGCATAAAGGAAAAATATATCTGTAGCCAAAACTTCTCTCTCCTCTTCTCTTTTCTCCTCTCTCAGGCTGGAGGGATGGGTTGAGGTCCCATATTGGTGCACTGTGGCTTCTCTCTCCTTTTTCTCTTGGTTCTCTCTCACAGGGTGGAGCGATGGGTTATGTTCTCATATTGGTGCAGTCTTGTATTGGTTTAGTGTGGCTTCTCTCTCATCCTCTTTCCTTGTCTCTCTTGGGTTAAAGTGATGGGTTGTGATCTCCTATTGGTGTGGTTTTATATTGGTGCAGTGTGGCTTCTCTCTCCTCCTTTTTTTTGGTTCTCTCTCTCAGGGTGGAATAATGGGTTGTGGTCTCATATTGGTGCAGTCTTGTATTGGTTCTGTCTCTCAGGCTGGAGTGATAGGTTAGGTCTCATATTGGTGTAGTGTGGCTCCTCTTGGTTCTCTCTCTCTCAGGGTGTAGTGATGGGTTGTGTTCTCATATTGGTCCCTTCTTATATTGGTGTATTGTGGCTTCTTTCTCCTCTTCTCTTGGTTTTCTCTATTGGGCTGGGATTATGGGTTGGGTTGTGTTCTCATATTTGTCCCCTCTTATATTGGTGTATTATGGCTAATTTCTCCTCTTCTCTTGGTTCTTTTTATTGGGCTGGGATGATGAGTTTTGGTCTCAAATTGGTGCATTTTTATATTGGTGTAATATGGCTTCTCTGTCCTCTCTTTTGGGCTGGAGTGATGGGCTGTGATCTGATATTGGTACAATCCTTACATTGGTGTAATATGACTTCTCTCTCCTCTTGGTTCTCTCAGTTGGGCTGAAGTGATGGGTTGTGATCTTATATTGGTGCAATCTTATATTGGTGTAATATGGCTTCTCTCTCCTCTTGGTTTTCCCAGTCGGGCTGGAGTGATGGGTTGTGATCTCATATTGGTGCAATCTGGCTTCTCTCACCGCTTGATTTCCTCAGTCGGGCTGGAGTGATGGGTTGTGATCTCATATTGGTGTAATATGGCTTCTGTCTCCTCGTTTCTCTCTCGGGCTGGGTTGTGATCTCATATTGGTGCAGTGTTTACTTCAGGCGATGGATACGTTCTAATTCCTTTCTCTTCTCTCTCTACAGATGAGAATTAAATAAACCTGATCCATCCAGGAGCAGCAGTCCAGCCAGAGATGTTTCAAGCTAAAATTCCAACCACGACTGCCACAGGCCATGTAAGTTCAGCTCGGTGACTAAGGCTCTGTAGAGGTCTTTTTATGGCTAAGTGGAAATTCCGAATCCTGGAAAATGCAGCTCACAATGGAAGCACTGTTCTGTCACTGTTTATGGACTCTTAAGGGAATGTAAAGTTTACACATTAGAGTAAATACGTCATGGACGGCAGATGTCACACAAAGGCTTTGGCCAGTGAATACTTTAGTTATGGACAGAAGAAAACCAAATTAAAGGAAACTTGTATTAAAAAAATATGAGGGTTGTGGCTGCTCCTTCGGAACATGCTAGTTCCCTGGCTTCATACCTTAGTCACTGACCCGAACCAGTATGACAATGAGGAGAAAAGTCAGCCTGCATATTTATTCCAGGACAGAAACTCCCAAAGTATATAAGCACAGTAATATCTGTTTCCATCTTTTGTGCAGGACAGGCACACTAGGAAGGGATGTCTAGAAATAAACGGAATCCCTTGCATGCTTATGAGCATGTCCTATTTACAACTTCTGAAGTCACCTTTAAAAAGAATAAAAATATCCAACAATGGCCCCAGGACTAGCCCAGCCATAGGGAGTTGGTGAGTGCAAGCAAGGCACCATACTCAAAGATTTGACACATAGAATGGAAATCATACACAGATAAATGATGTTTTCCGATAATGTTCAATCTGATCAGCATTTGTTTGCCCCCCTATACCCCTGATCTCAACATATAGACAGATGGCAACACATACCAGTGTTATTGGTCAATCATGCCATATGCTGCACAATGACCGTATCTGTATAATAAATAATGCAACTCTTGTTGGCGGTTTTCTCCCACAAAAGAAGATCAAATATTATTAGTCCAGCAGCTGCTGGCTTGCTCTCATGGGGAGCTTCAGCTCCCAAAGAGTCCTGTGCAGCCTTTTTCTTCTTTTTATTTTTAACATGGAAGAACCCTTGTAATAATTTTTTAGGTCTTGGGGAACCCCTGCCAAGAAAAACTGCTCATGGTACATCAGCTTGGTGGTCAGTGGGAAGAATGCCTACCTTGCAGATGGTTAAAAAGCTAATTGGTTTCAGTGGTCACATATCTAAGAGGAAGAAACTTATTGCTGAAAAAACCCTAGCAACCTTTAGAGCAGGGGTGTCAAACTAGCGGCCCTCCAGCTGTTGCGAAACTACAAGTCCCATCATGCCTCTGCCTTTGGGAGTCATGCTTGTAACTGTAAGTCCTGCAATGCCTCATGGGACTTGTAGTTTGGCAACAGCTGGAGGGCGCCCGCCAGTTTGACACCCGTGCTTTAGAGGAACCCTAGTTGAAGCTAATGGAATACCTGAGCCCCATCTGTACTCCTGTGATTCTATCCACTGGCTCATACGTCACTACAGAATTATGAAGTGCAGTATGGGTCTCACGAGTGGAACCATAGCTTGTATCCGGTCACCAGGTATCCCACATATCTGAGTGTCAGATGTACAAGATTCTCCAGCCATTGTAGGTCTTCAAAAGAGCAAAATTAGAATTCACCACCGATCAGAATGGTAAATATTCTTCATCTTTTGCAAAGAAATGGTGACCATTGCTTTAATTTGTGTTAGGATGAAGTTAGCATTCATGTTGGCCATAGACCTAGAAATTTTTGGGATCACATGAACAATTCCAAATTTTTGAATGACTACTGGCAAGGCCATCCAAGCAAATCTGATATACCTTTTTTTTTTTGTTTGTTTGTGCTTGATTTTACATTCAATCTCAGTTATTCTTTGTGTATTAAATCTATTTTTGCTCTTTCAATCATAGTAGTGACTTATGAGCCAATGGAAGTAACCACAGAGTGCAGAAGGGGCCCAGGAAACCTACCATTTACTAGTTTGGTTGTCCTACAAACCTTTTCAGTCATATGAAGGAGTGAATACTCGTTAAAATTGGCTGAAAATTGCTATGCGTATGGTCAACATAGGGGGTTCAGTTTGGGGTTTAAAGTTGAACGATGGGGCAAAATAAAAAAAAAAAAAAAAAAAAATGGCATCCAGCTAAGAGGAAATTTGCCAATTCCTTCCAGGTCTTTGCCAGGACTGCTGACATGTAGAATTCTAAAGATCAAACTATAACAGAGATTCCTTCCAGAGCCTGGAAACAGGAAACACGTAGAGGACTTGTTATCTAACTAGCTTTGTTCCTATTTCAGGATTCTGCCTGTAGTCCTGCAGCAAGTGTGGTTCAGAGGTCAAAGGTGAGCACACACACTCCTTTTGTGTTCCTTTTCTGTATTTAGTGGCTTTTCGCAAAAATGAAACCTGTAATTCACAATAGAGAATGTCTAGCACTATTACACCAGAAGAAACTTCGCTTTGGGAATAAGTGATCTCCCAGCCTCAGATCTAGTACTCCCCTTCCCCATCCATGCTTGTCTTTGGTAAAGGGAAAACTCTATGTAAAAAATGATCAACCTAAAACTTCAACTTTAGTTACATTGTTCCAGCTCGGGCCAGGGTACTTGTTGGATCCCCCTGGAAACTGGGAGTCACTGTAATAGGCACAGCTATTCCAGTGATCTCTGCTAGCTTCCAAGTCCCATGCCAAGCAGCTGCCTGCCAAACACAGGCATTCACTTGTTCACTCAGCACAGGGGCCATTCAGTGAACAACTTGAATGTTTTCACGAATGCAAGCATTCTGTGATTGAATAAGGTGGAGAGGTGGGGCATTGACATCACAATCTCCATCCCATCCAATCGAATAAAGCTTTGCAGGTATAGTCCTTGTATAATGACTGATATGTACTGCACAGATAACACATAGACGCCTCTAATGTCCCTTTCTTTCTCCACAGTCCTTCAGTATGAAGCCTGCTGTTAAAGAACTCTGCTCATCCTGTCAGACGACTGTGTACCCTATGGAGAGACTAGTCGCCGACAAGCACATCTTCCACAACAGATGCTTCTGCTGTAAGCACTGCAGTACCAAGCTGAGGTAGGTGTAAGGTTAGCCCAGGGTGCACAATGATGACACAGTTGACTCTGTTAAAAAAAAAAAAAGAGTGCCCATTTTATGTGTAATTGAAGGATCACTCCTACCAAAACTGATATTCAGTGTTTAATATATGCTGACCGTACCGTAAGTCTGTAGAGTCTTCTATTGGTCCCATAGGTTTAAAACGTATCAGTCCATCCAGTTCAACCAATGTAAAAAAAAACAGAATAAATAGAAAACCTCCATATATAGAACCCTATACCCACAACTGATCCAGCGGAAGGCAGAGTACCCCTATAAAGCACAGTACATTTTTTGCTTCAGTGGGGGCGGGGGAGAAGAATACATTCCTTGGTGAGATCCAGGTTCTGCATAGCTGCCACAGCCATTATGAGGGGTTCTTACTCTCCCTGCTGGTTGTTTTGCGTTTTATCTTCTCTAATATATATATTAAAAAAAAAACAAAAGTGGTTGGAAACACCCGAAACTTTAGGTGAACAGGAGCAAAGTTGGTAATTATGTTAGGGAGATCACACTGGTGAAATACCAAAGATATGTAAGAAGCCCAGTGGCAACCCAGCCAACTAAGTTCACCTACAACTAAAGCCCCCACCCAAAATATTGGCCAAATGCACCAATTAAAAAAAAAAAAAAAGTTGCTTCCTCAGGTTTTGGTCAAAAGCATTTGATTACACATAGAGGGGAGTTTTATACGGCCACCAACAGAACCCTTATGGATCCAGAAATATTTGAACAAGCTTCAAATTGACACTTTCCAACTTTGGGAAAAAGTCTGTGGAAATTATCCATAAAGACACCCCAATACAAAAATATGATGATGTGGTAGAGTCCTGGCCCTTTTTATATAATCTCAAACAGATGTTGGAAATGCCAAGGCAATATCTTTGTACTTCATGGATTGATCCATTTTGGATCATGGTTTCTCATCTGGATTACTTTCCCATTGAGTCTTATAAATTTCCTCCTGGGTCTTCCCTTCCAGAATATCACACGGACAGTCTACAAGGAAACTAAGAAATCATATACTCCTAGGTGATAGATGTCAGATTCCCCTGAGACTGAGATCAGGGTATATCCCCAACTGTGTTGCCCTAATTTAATGAATGGTATCGTGGAGGTGTGAGGAACTTCCGACCAGAATTCATGACTTTTCAACTTCTCTGGATCCCTTGATACAAATCTTAATATAATTTGTCCCTCCAGAGTTGATGTTCTCCAAGAACGGCTTTAGGCATCATGTCCCTTCCACATTATATTACACTGGTTAATAACCACATAAAGCATGCTTCCATTGGTGCACCTTTTACACTTTATCATGATGAATCGTATACAGCGTATTACTCTTTTGTATTTGCCTACACTGCTGTTGTACTTGACATAAGATGCTGTAGGTGATACGTTCTGTATTCTTAGAACATGTAGTCATTTCTTAAGTTCTCCACAGATACTTATCATAAAACAGGAAGGACTGATTGCTTCTGCTTACATTAACTACATTTGCACAATAAGTCCTCATGCACACTGGACGTTTTTACGGCGACTGTTTTTGGCGGGTTTTTTTCTACAGTCAGTAAACCCCCCAGCATGTTTATCCTAGGTGTCCATGCACATGTAGGCTTTAATCAGTGTTTTTTGGCTGGGGAAAAAATTCTCAGGACTAATAGGTTGCTAGGAGTTTTTTTTTTTTTTTTTAGCTGAAAAACATGGTAAACTGGTGTTTTTGGACCATTTTTTTTTTTTGGTTAAGAACCGCTAAAAATGCAAACACGGCAAAACGCAGAAAAACTTGCGTTTTTAAATGTGACTTTACATAGCTAACGCTACCAGCGTTATTAAAACGCCCTGTGTGCATGGAGCCTAAGGCTTTGTTCACGTATGTGTGGGTGCTGCTGCTGCAGATCCACATGAAAATCCATGCAGCTGCACCACCTGCGCAGAAGACTGCGGACCCGCAGGCGAGTGCCATTAGTTCTAACAACACGCCGCCCGCGCTGGAAATTGCAACCGGGGTTCCCGTGGGGGCTGTAGTCTCCAAAGAAGTGCAGGGACTTCTTCCCTGCGTGCCCCCAGGCACGGGAGTCCATTCAAATGAATGGGCTCTTGTGCCCGTGCAAAATGCAGCCTACACGGCCGCATATATGTGAACCACGGCTTAGTGTACGTGGTCACCTATCATTGTGTGATCTGACAAGTGTGCAAGCTAACTTAATTCTAAATGAAAACCATTTAAAAAAAAAAAAATTACACTTTTGGGTGGACTGATCCTTTCATTTTTAGAATTATATTTGTTTACTTTGTCACAATTTCATGATCATATTTCATACCAGGATTTGTGGGCACTCCTTTTTAGTTGATGTCCATTGTGCAGAACAATCACAGTATGCAATGTTTCAAGCATATCTAAACCCCAAAACAATAAAAATAACATATTGCAGCTTGCCTCAATGTGGTAGCTGCATTAGTTTTCTTTTTTTTAACCCTTTTTTACCTTTATTTTCACCTGGTGTGAATAACTCAGTTTTGGGCCTACACTGTACGGTTGTCACACACAGTCTGGTTTTAAAACGTGTCTGCCTTTGTTCATCTCCATTACAGTTGATTGATGGGACTGGTAGTTTACACTGAAACAATACGAATGTTTGTGCTTCTTCTCAGCTCACAGGAAATGACATGACAAGGACGCAGCATTTCTGGCAAGATCAAGTGACATTTTCTGTTCTTGCTGTAAATGTTCTTAGCCTGAAAAAAAGAAAACGTATGCAGTCACCACATCTGAGGACCGGTAAGCTTCAATATGTTACATCTTTGCTTTTGGGGTTTAAATATCCTGTAATTAGAACTACTGTATATGGACAGAACTGCACCCATACACATTCAGTAGAGGGAACTGTGCTGCACTACTGGGAGGATGTACTGCTTAAAACATGGGCTCTGCTATGGCTGAGCTCTCCTATTTGATTGTAAGCTCCCAGGATCAGGGCCCTCCTAATCCTCTTGTATTGAACTGTATTGTCTCCCACTATATTGTAAAGCGCTGAGCACACTGTTGGCGCTATATAAATCCTGTATAGTAATAATATTTGACGTTCTGGTTTCAATACATAAGTTACTGACCTGGAAAGATGGCGATTTATTTAAAATTTTCTAAAATTACAAATCTGCATCTTTGCTCCCAATAAGCGACTCATGGAGGATAGTGGATTAGGAGGACAGTTAGGTGCCAAGCATTTTCATGGGAAGCCAGCATTGGAAGTTTCCATATGCTCTCAGTACAGGTTTCCTGAAAGATTTCAGAGATTGTTATTCTATTGTTGGGTCTCACCCACAGAGAGAGGAGCGAATTGGAAAGCATGGCATGCCTGATGAGCTAATAGGGCTGCCCCCGTGTACAATTCGAAGCTACACATGGCTTAAAACATTCATTTTAATTATTGAGATACAATACATACCAGTGCGGCAACAGCAATTTCCTCACCAGGCAATGAATCTTCAGCATCCAATATCTCTGCATGTGTCAAAGATGCTTCACCTGGCCTAGCTCTTCCAAATAGATCAGTCATATTTTAAATAAAAAAATTTGAGGGTAGCTTTTTATTTTTTTTTGATTCGATGATGCCTTAGGAAGCTCATCCTTGTTCTCCTGCTGCGTGTCTAAAGGTAAAATGGCACTGCCCCATTAATCTGATGTCTGTTTTATTATACAGTACATAGTTATGGAAGAGAAAGCCAACCTTTGGCCAGATGTATACATTCATTGATCGTTGTTTCTCTCCCATCAGCCTTGGCTCCTACGCTGCCCTCCATGGTGAATTTTACTGCAAACCTCACTTCCAGCAACTCTTCAAGAGCAAAGGAAACTACGACGAAGGATTTGGACGCCGCCCTCACAAGGATCTCTGGACCCACAAGGAACAAGAGGCTCCTGGTGATAAAGCTCCTTGATTGGCCTGTTGACCTGCAACTCACCTGGCTCTTTGTTCCTCACCCACAATGCACTTGGGGTAGGAGCTATCCTGTGCCTCCGTGTGGGTTTTTAATGCAGATAAAGGCACTTTTTTTTAATAGGATGTAGCTTATGCAGTTATTGCCTCCTGGTGGTGGGAGTGCGTAACTGTAAATGTCAGATGCCACCTGGGCCTTGAAGACCTCAAAGTGCACATTTTTCCTTTGACAATGACAGCTCCCTCTGATTTTATGTAGAGAGAAGGTTTTAAGTCTGGCATTTTTTATGACGGAGCTGTCCTGGACCCATGTGGCCTCTTGAATGTGGTGAGGGGGCAGTGGGTGATAGGGTTGGCCTGGTTTGCAGGGGTGACATTAGCTGTAGCTGCCAAGTTAAGTGATTGTTTGGGGAAATTAAAACAATGGGTGGGTTTTATCTGTTGCCTTGGTTTGTGAGATCCACAAAGGCAGTGATGGTAGGCTATGTACTTATTGCAACTATGTGATTTTATTCCTCAGAATAGACCAAAAGGTGCAGTAATGGCAGGAAGCGGGATGACGGCCATTTTGTTCTTACAGGGATAATGCAAACTGAACCAGACAGCCGTCTTCTCCCGCTTTTTGCTCTATGACCTCAGGGGACATACTCAGCTCTTCTGTGCATTCAGATATAAAGCTAGCACAAGGCCAAACTGGCCTAACCATTATTCAAATTGGCATCCCTGTCACCCACCTCCCTCTACACCACCCATAAAAAGGGAAGTACCCCTACCCCTTCCTCCCTTGGTATTGGACAAGGGAGACTGCAACATTCCTGATCTTCTTTCTCTGCACCCTCTGTGCTGATGAAAGGGGTACTCTGCACTGGTTTGGGGTTTTTTTTTACAGACTGTTTTTAAATAAATGAATCTTCTGTGAGCCTTGATTGTAAAATAAAGTCTCTCTAGGAACAAAGGTTTCCTATTTGTTTTGTTTGTAGGTACAGTAGGCCATGCATTTACTGAACAGGGGTGGTAACTGGAGTCTTACATATTAAGCCCGGGTTCACACACAAATAATCACACCCTGTTGATGTGTATTATAACGACACCCCCGAAATCAGTTTGCAAAACACAGTGTGATGTACAGAATCTCAAACACCCATGAGATCCGATTCTGGTGCGGACAAAAAAAAGGGTCCTGCACTGTTTTGATGCGGTGTGATTTGAGCCATATTCAAATGTAGGGCTTAAATTGCACCACCCAGAAATTTCATGTGATTTGCACAGGAAGGTGGTGTGGTTCCTGTACAAATCACATGCGATGTGCCGCATCGCATCAGTGTGAACCAGTGCTGAAACCCAATTGTAGGAAAAAATGAAATTTAATTAGTGTATTAATGACCTTACTCCTCAGTCTTGATTTGCAGACACCTCTTCCAAAGCCATCCAGCATTGTAATGGATCAAATGCACAATTTCCTTTATGAGCCAAGCTAATTTCCTGCCCTGGAGACCAGACATTTGTTCCTGCTTGTTATCTTCTTGGGCACTGGTCCCCTCACTGACCCTCTGAGCTCTCCTGCCTGTGGAGTCTGGGAGAAATGAGAGGACCCAGCCACTAGAAGTGATGCCTCCACTAATAGGAACTGTTCACATCCAAGCAGGCAGTGATGTGGACAGCTGAAGAAAAAAAAAAAACACATGCAGGAAGTAAACAGAAAAGGAGAATCATCATGTGTGAGTAAAATTGGTATTTTGAGAGTTTTTTTGGGATGGGTGAAGAGAGGGAGTTGCTGATATCCTGGAGCTGGGCTTGAAGTAGAACAATGGTTTAATGTTTATTATACACTGCATTATTAGCTCAAATACAGGCTTGTAGCTGCAAAATCATTAACAAAAAATATTGGACGTCTCTTAATTAACACAGTAATTATACATACATACTGGTTTTCAGCAATGGGGAAGGCAATCCCTTCGTGGTGAAAGAGAGGCACAGTAGAGGCTTTCCTGACAAGTAGATGGGAACCTTCCCTAGCTGGAATTTAGGGTATGTATACAGAACTGGTTTTCATCTATGTCAGTGATCACATGATTTCCACTGAACGTCTATTAACATTTTTTCTTTCCGATCATGTGCCCAGTCACATACATGATCTCCACAGGGTTCTTCATCTTATCGATCACATGACCGATGCCATGACCAGCTAGGTGACTGCGCACGTGATCTCCACTGGGTTCCTAATCATACTTAATCTTTTCGATCACATGACCAATCATGTGATTCACTGGGTTCCTAATACTTTCTCTTTCCAATCACATGACCGATCATATGACTATGATATCTTTGCAAGTATGTAACCTGTCACATGCCCAATCACGATTGTCAATAGGTTTACAGGACTGGCTGCGTGATTGCAAAGATAACAAGATGTGACTCTTACATGGAAGAGATCATCCTACTGGAGAAATCTAGGTTGGCCTTCTGATTCAAGGAGCACAGTCACCTGGGTGGAGCATTTCCTAATCTATTGTGGAGAGATAAAGATACTACAAGTTTTATAGACTTATGCAGGACATAGACAGGTTGTTTATCGGCCGATATTCACGGCGGTAGTGGGGCAATGCCAATGGCCGTTTTTCTCGTATCTTCTCATTTCTTTTTATCGGTCATGCTGGAAAATCCATGAAAAAACAGCCGTTTTTCGTGAGCATTGGTGGCAGCATCCATGGTGGCAACGACTGATTTTTCGTTTATCGCCCGACAAACGGCCCGCCTATGGCCACCGAATGTATAGCTTTGGAGATTCCCTGAATCAGACACTTAATAGATTGCTGGGTAAAAGGGGCATGGTACTTCAGTCATTAATGTTTGTATTTTTAGAGTAGAACATACCTGCACAAGATGTATCAGCACAGCCTTTTGTATCCAACAGAAGAGCACAAGTGGACGGGACAATGCATTGTGCATATACAAGGATGTCCATGGCAAGAGTACTAGGTACTATATTAAACAAAAGCTGCAACAATAAAAAGCTCACCTAGATGTGTCATTCATTCTTCTACCATCATGGCAGAGGGACTCAATACACCAGAAATGGGTGCGACATCACCGCCATTGCAGTCTACTGATACTTCCTTCAACCCCATGACTGAAGGTGCGGACCTGCGGCTGGAGGAATATCAGCAAGAGCATTGCACCCACAACTGCAGTTGCAAGATTTTTACAGACGTAAATACAAAACAATGAATTAATATTCAATATGGGTGCAAGTTCCAAGGAGTTTTTTTTTTTGCAAAAGGCCTTCAAGCATCTTCAAAAACCACACTGTAGTTATAATGTAAAGTACAATCTTAGGCACAAAGCATGCTGGGAAAACAGATGGACTTGTTCAAGGTTCAATTTCCCCCGTAACATTTTTATTGTCCTCTGTTATTTTACACTGCATATTGATCATGGAAGCACCTTTAAGCGGAGCTTCACCCAAAAGGGGAAGTTCCACTTTAAGCCTTTGTCCCCCCACTCCCCATTAAGGATTGGCATCTTTGGGGAGCGGGTACCTAAACTTGACAGATACCTACTTCCACTGATCACCAGTAGAAGCTGTCGTCCTCCCTGTGGTCTTCTGGGACACGTGACAGGTCCCAGAAGACTACGGGGCCATTCAGGAAACGCAGCACTTCTCGCACATGCGCATTGGGCCCCTGGCTGTGAAGCCGCAAGCTGTCACAGCCGGGTGCCCACACTGAAAAGGCCGGCACCAGGAAGAGAAGATGGCTGGTGAAACCAGCAGCGGTGAAGAGACCGAGGGACAGGTAAGTGTCTGTATTTTAAAAGTCAGCAGTTACAGTGTTTGTAGCTGCTGACTTTTATTTTTTTTTTTTTTAGGTGGAACTCCGCTTTAAGGTCACAGCTTCATATAAAAGGTTACCATCAAGTGGTAATATAAACAGCTGCAGCAGAGGAGAGGTTTGGTTTTCATTTTGGATAGAGGGGCGAGGGATTAGAACACCTGTCAAGATCTTACTCCTGGCGCTGCGCCCGTTAGGAAAATTCCCCCTCTCTATTTCTCCTGTTACCATTATCATTGAAAGTAAAAGAAAATCCCACATTTTGGATTTTCCCCAGAAAAGTAATAGAGGGGAAATCTTCCAATGAGGAAATTTTGTTCTGGTGTCCTCAAAGGATTCCTCTAATTTGCAGGAATTTTCTCTCACTTCCTGTTTGGCTATGGGACAGGAAGTGAAGGTGAATCTTCCCAATGGAACACAGATGGAAAAAAAAAAAAAAATCTGACAGGGGTTATAACCTTTCCTCTGTCCAAAATGGAAATAAAGTTTTGCCTATAGTTCTACCTGAAGGTAAGGTCCGTTTACAGGTTACCATTTTCTACTATGTCCTGTGCCCATCCCCAGGTTTGAGTATTGCCTGCTCTCTTTTGTTCGGTCTTGAACTCAATACGAAGTCTGGATTGGCACTGTTCTATATTGAAGGGCAATGAATGAACTATTCCACAACTGAATGCCATTTAAAAGAGTGCCGATATAAAAGGTAGACTTCAGCATGTCATATTACCTTCTCACAGTATCCTGCACAGCAGAAATTTGACTGGGAAGGGGATGTCCTGCATCATAACTGCACTGCACTTTAGCCTGCTGGTAGCCCTACATAACAGCACAGCTGAATAGAGGGGCTTTCTCCTGCCGCATAGTGTGTCAGGATTGTGTGAATCACAATGGGGACTAAAAAACATCACAGATATGTCATCCTATGTGGATTTCCAGTATGCAGCAGCTCAGCTGTAGCTCTTCAATGAATACCTTTTTTTGGTGTTACTTCTCTTCTTGCACTGCATCTCCTTTTGTAGGCGGTAATGAGCTGCACTGTGCATCACTGCAAAACAAGATCAGGTTAGTGGGATTTTCAGCAACTGTTTTTGATGTGCATGGTAGCATATGTGTCTTGTAATGGCTGTCAGACAAAAAGTGGACAGGAACAAGGAGGACTGAAGGCAATAGGCAT